ACACAGGGATTGCCCAGACTCATCATATATGTTACTGGGAGGCTCCCGTGTGCCATTAGGCCAGTCGAGGCGGTTAAACATAAATATTAAAGAACTTGTTCACAAATATAAAATGAAGGCTGTACAAAAATACAATTAGTAGAAATTCTGCTGTTTTTTAGAAGTCTTTGACTTTTTAAGCATACTTTAATGTATGCTTGCTAATTTTCTTTACAAGATCTAATTTTCTTTACAAAATGTTAAATAAATTTGTTTCCTTTTCTCGATAAATTTTTCAGATCCTTGTGTTAGCGCTGCGCAAGAGTTTTTTTGGTATCGCTAGATGTTCTTCACTTATGACTATCAAATTAAAAACAACTAGCTATTAGCTTTTTTAGTGAAAGACGTATTTTTGAGACAAAAATTCTGGATCGATTCAGTTCAGAAATGCTAACACTGTCACTAATTGCACGCACGAATGCAAACGAACGGCAGGAAGGTAAAGGGATGAAGGGAAGAACTGGGGATAAGAAGGGTTGCAAGTCAAAGAGCAGAGATAAGACGTTTCGGTCCATTAAGCCGTGGATATTTTAAGTCAACGTCGCAACCAGATTTCGTCAATTCATCGGGCCATCACATGTAAGTGGTATTATTGGAAAGATGATTATAGGCGCAATCACCATAAAAAATGCAATTAAAACTGGCTGCAAACGAGACTTACCATAGTGTCAGTAGGAGGAACAATACAGCGAGAATTACAAGCAGTATTATCGAAGTTTTTGATGGAGCTACATCGCAAAATTCACCGGACCATCCATCGCTACACACGCAAGTAATGTTATTGGTCAGGGAGTTATGAACGCAATCGCCATGAGAATTGCACAGATCGCACAAAAGTGCACCGCAAACTCGTCCCGGTTGCTCCGGATTTCCATCGATGTATCCTTCCGGACAGCGACATTCATAACCCACTGCTTTGTCGATACATTCCGCTACACCTGAAAAACAAAACTTTCTAGTTTGGCAGATTAAAAAGTGCGGGAAACTACTACTATTGTAATTATTATCATTATACTATTATTGTTGATATTATTACAATTGTTGTTATTATTGTTATTATTATTGCTATTATTAATTCGTTTCTTCTACCGGAAATCTCATTGTGAAGTGCAACTGTTTTTGCCCGATTGAT